CTCAATGACGTTCAACATCTGAGGGGGCTGCCCAACCTACTACACCCTCTTTCCTCAGGGTTGGGTTTCCGAAGTCTCTGCACACTGTGTGATGTCAGATGCCTTGTTCTTCAATGATTGGCTCCTGGTGGCATCTGAGTCAAGCTCTGCCAACCACATTCTCTATCCCGAGAATTCAGACTGGAACACAGAGACACCAGTCAGCACCTGTTGGCACTGAGGCCATTTTGACCGTGTGCCCAGAGAGGCAGAGAACACCCACCTGGAGAAAGGGAAGGCAGAGAGGCATGGGAGCAGAGAGATAGAGAGAATGGATTGGAGCTGAGACGTCCAGAGACGGTGGCACAGAGTCATGGAGAGAGCAAGCCTGTTCCTGATGGTTTTCTAGTTCCTGGCTCCAAACCTCTGGAGGCTTCATTTCATTTCTGCCCTTGGGTACCATGATTTTGTTTAATAAAATAACACTTAAAAAAAAAAAAGCAAGATTTTGTTCCTACTGATTATAACTAAAAGAGTGTTGATAAGACTTTAGTGTCTCCATTTTGCAGAGACAGAAACTACGAAACTGAAGCTCCAATAATTTGGCCACCTGATGTGGAGAATTGACTCATTGGAAAAGACCCTGATGCTGGGAAAGATTGAAGGCAGGAGGAGACAGGGACGACAGAGGATGAGATGGTTGGATGGCATCACCGACTCGATGGACATGAGTTTGAGCAAGCTCTGGGAGTTGGTGATGGACAGGGAAGCCTGCAGTCCATGAGGTCACAAAGAGTCTGACACAACTGAGCAACTGAACTGAACTGAAACTAAGGCACAGAAATTAAGCCAGGAGCCCAGCGTCACAGAGCTAGTCCATGCAGAGGATGGAAACAGGTGTCTCTGATTCCCATAGCTGATATGTATGGAGTGCTTTCTTTATTCTAGGCATTTTCTCTTTATTTATTCATTTTATTTGGCTGTTCTGGGTCTTAGTTGTGGCACAAAGGATCTTTAGTTTCAGGATGTGGGATTTGATTCCCCATCTAGGGATGGAAACTGGGCCCCCTGCATTGGGAGTGCAGACTTTTAGCTTCTGGACCACCAGGAAGTCTCAGGTACTAGCACTTTTTCAGAAGTTTTATATGTATTATCTCATTTTATCCCCAAATCACCCCACCTATCAGTACCATTTGAAGGACGGGGAAATTGAATCAAGGGGAGATTGAGTTGCCTGCTGAAGATCAGGTAGCATTCGAGGGCCAGAGCCAAGGTGGGGACCCAGACGCTGACCCCACTGTTTGAAGTGAAGTAAATTGAAGTCGCTTAGTCATGTCCAACTCTTTGCGACCCCATGGACTGTAGCCTACCAGGCTCCTCCATCCGTGGGATTTTCCAGGCAAGAGTACTGGAGTGGGTTGCCATTTGGGCTCTCAGTAAATAAAGCAGTGCTGGTTTTGGGGATAGAAGGGGGCAGAGGTCTCTAGAATTTGATAAACACAGGTATGTTGAGTTGAATCATGAACCCTTGGGGGATGGGTAAGCCCTTGGAGGTCCCTACTGGGTTACGCTTCCACCTAATGCGTCTGTTCTCAGCAGCTCTGACTGATGGCATCTCGTCCCTGTGATATTGTGATGCCTCTTCCATCATTGAGCAGGTCTCGCCCTGCTCACTAAATACTCCCTGTGCCCCCCTCTCCCGAACTCCACTGCTGCTTGTGGTGAATATACTCTTAGTTAACTTCCTGAACAGGGATAAATCACAGCTGTGGGTGACTGTGTCATTTCCACTATGGTTTTGGGATATGTGCGAGTTCATTTAGAACCTGGATTTTGTCAGGAAGATACCAAGCCCAGTCTTCATCCCCTTAACCTATCTACATGACCCAGGAGAGATAGACTAAAGAAGGGACAGATGACTCTCCAGGTCAGGACGCCTGTGGTGAACTTGCCTCACCTATCCCAGGTGCTAAATGCACTCTATGCGCACTCTGTCCAGATCTCCTCACGGAAGAGAAGGCCCGCTTCTTGTGGCTGTGGGTGGTAAGGAAGCAGAAAAGGCTGGCAGTGATTCCAGAAAGAGAGGCTGAGAAGGACCCGCAAGGATTTTCCAGGCCAGAGGTGCCTGGAAACAGGCTGAAAATCAGTCTAGGTTGGGGTCACTGACCCTTTAGGGAAATCGGTGAAAGTCAGAGATTTTCTTCCCCAGAATGCACATGCAGAGATAAATTTGCTTAAGACGTAAAATTTCTTACTTCGGGGATCCACAGACCTACTAAGGATACTACTGAAAAATCCCTGACTTAGAGAGACTGCCATCTGATGCAGACCTAGAGGGGAAGATTGCCTCTATCCCCACTTCCTGCAGGATGCTATTCCTCTAGGAGTCTTTGTCGACCCTGTTGGAGCTGGGGTGGGTCCTTTCTCTTTCTCTTATGCCTGTGCAATTTTGTTGTTAACACTATGACAATGGCTTTTATTTTTTAAATATTTTTATTTATTTATTTGGCTATGCTGGGTCTTAGCTGCTGCATGCAATATCTTTGATCTTTGTTGCGGCATGGGGAATCTTCAGTTGAGGCATGCAAACTCAGTTGTGGCATGTGGGATCTAGTTCCCTGAGCAAGCTAGAACCCTAGGTCCCCTGCTTTGGGAGTCTTAGCCACTGGACCACTAGGGAAGTCCTGGCAAAGGCTTTTAAAATGTGGTCCTCTGACCAACATTAGCATCACCTGAGAACTTGTTAGAAATGCAAATTCTTGCTCCCTACCCCTGACCAGTCTGGATGGGGCTCCGAGATCAGTGTTGGAATGGGCCCTTACTGTGATGCTGAGGATCGCTCAGGTTTGAGAAGGGTTGCTACAACCAGTCCTCTTCTCGAAGGCGTGGCTGCCCTGCTGGACACAACACGCCTGGCAGATAGTAAGTGCTCAATGAATATTCATTGCATCACGTTTTCCTGACTCCGAGGGCAAGATTCCTTTTCCCCTTGATACCCGATGGCTCTCAGACGTGGTGACTGAGATCTAATGTTATTTTGGATCCAGTTTCTTTCTACTCCAGGGACTTAAGTCAGGCGTGACTCTGCTAGGTAGAGTAGGGGGTCTGGTCTTGAGACAGGTGCCTTGAAACTTTCACACAGGGATGGAGCCAGAGAGACACCAAACCTGGACGATTTCTCTGGGTAACGGGGCCTCAATCATCTGATGGCTGAGAGGCAGATGGGCAGGGGGCTGCCTGGCCTATACGTATGTCCCGGGTCCCTGAGAACCCAACACTGCCAAACTCCACAGGCTGCCCTGCTCCCCTCGGTGCCTGCCCTACACCAGCCTTGGCAGAGGCTGCCAAACCCTGGCCAGGGACATACCTGCCAGGCTGGCAGGAAGAGAAATGACCACTTTTTATTTTCAACGATTCTCCAGCTTTTTGGGTGGTAGGGAAATGGTTTGAAGATTCCTCTTAATCTCGTGTGTGTATTTAGTCTGGAGGAGAGTGTGCCTCAATTCTCTGCTAAATTCTCACTTTCATCCTTTAGGGAGAGACAGTGTCTTCAATACAATCTTATAGTTTCTGGATATTTAAAAAATAACCTTTGCTAGAGGGTGCAGGGAAAAAAATTTCTGTAACTCTTCCTGTCTCATATTAACCCAACTCCTTAAACATTAAAACAAACAAACAAACAAAAAAAACCCTATTTGATTTTTTTAAGGTGGGTGCAGAGAAATGACACCTCTTTGCCCTTCATTTCCCATGGTTGCATTTTTAAAAAGTATTCTGGCAGCTTTCCCGGTGGCTCAGTTCCCAGGTGGCTCAGTGGTAAAGAATCCGCCTGCCAAGGCAGGAGACACAGGTTTGATCCTTGATCCTGGAAGATCCTACGTGCCAGGGAGCAGCCAACCACATGTGCCATAATTATTGGACCTGTGCTCTAGAGCCTGGGAGCTGCAACCACTGAGCTCATGGGCTGCAACTCCTGAAGCCCCCAGCCCTAGAGCCCATGCTCGGAAATAAGAGCAGTCACTGCAGTGGGAAGCCGGGGCACCGCAACTAGAGATTAGCCCTCAATTGCCACAACTAGAGAATAGCCTGTGCAGCGATGAAGACCTGGCACAACCAATAAATAAATGCATAAATAAATAAAAAAAATTAATACGGACAAGTGACACTAATTAAAAAAAGTATCCTGTTTTTCTACTAGGGAGGGGTAAACAAAGACTTCTCTCATCTCATAGACTCGCAGTTTTACAAATTTTTATTCTAAAAAACAATCAATTGTGGGAGATGCAGGATGGATCCATTAATCCTTTCTGTTTCTATATGGGGCAAGTCCTTCACACATAATTTTTTTTTTTTAAATTTGGTATTTTTGGAGGGTGAGGAGGAAGGGGGGAATCCCCTTTCAACCTTACCAAGTTACAACAATGCCCGTTCCTCAAATTTAAAAATAATCTGATTTTTTAGGGTGTTGAATAGAAATATTCTTGTTCACCATTTACTTCACCCAGAGTTCCACAAATTTTTCTCTTAAAAATCAATTTGATTGGGCATGTGGATGGTGGGTGGGGGTGTCTAAACTTTCACCCTTCTTGTCCAACATGGGACCAGTTCTTCAAACTTTAATTTGTAACATAAATATATTCTTTAAAAAATTGACAGGGATAAAGAGAAACATTCCCTTTATCTTGCATTTCACATAAAAGCAGCTCAGATATTTATTTTAAAAATCAATCTGCCGGGGGGGGGCTAGAAAGAGTCCCCATAACCCCTGTTGTCTGACATAGGGCTAGCTCTTCAAACTTTTATTCTTCAGTTACATTAGATTTTTTTGGAAGGGTGGCAGGGGCAATGATAATATCCCCACTGAGTCTTCCGATTCTTCCGTAAGGCCAGCTCTTCAAACTTTATTTAAAAAATCAATCTGATTTTTTGGGGGTGGGTGGGTGGGGGGAGCCAAAGAGTTCCCATTAACCCCTTGTGTTCCGCCCAGAGAAGGCGCCCCAAACTTTTTTTCCAACGTGAAAATGACCTCTCGGAGGGGCTGGGGAGCGGGGGCAGGGCAGGAAGGCTCAGAGGGGCGGGCGCGGGGGGCGCGGGGCGCGCGGGGAGCGGCGCGGGAAAGTTTGGGGGGCGGGTGCGCCTCGGCCCGGGGGCAGGCGGGCGGGCTGGAGCCGCGCGCCCGGGGGCCGGCCGGCTTTGTGTGCGGCGCGGAGGCCGGTGGCGCGGAGGCCGAGGCCGAGGCCCGGAGCTCGCGGGCCGCGCGGCGAGGCCGGCCCGGGGGCGGGCAGGGCGGCGGGGGGCGGCCGCAGCCCCGAGAGGGGCGGCTCGGCGGCGGCGGCGGCGGCGGCGGCCGGTGCGGGCCGGGGGTGGGGGCGAGGGCCGGGCGCCCCCCCCGCGCGCCCCCAGCGCCCCCGCCCCCCCGGCCTGAGCGGGGCGGGCGGAGGAGGGAGCGGCGGCGGCGGCGGCGGCGGCGGCGGCGGCGGCGGCGGCGGTGGCGGCATTGTGCGCGCACCAGCAGCCCGGCCCGGGAGGAGCAGGACGCGCCGGGGCCGCCTCCTCCCGCACGGACCCATGAACCAGCCGGGCGGCGCGGCGGCTCCGCAGGTACGGCGGGGGGCCGGGGGCATGCACCGCGCGGGGGACCCCGGGGGGCCGGGGCCCGGGGCGCTGCGCCACTTCATTGCAAGATTTGCAAAATGCAAAGTGCCTGGGCACGTTTGCGGGCTTTTTTGTGGGCGCAAACGGGAGAGTCGGGGTCTGGTGAGCCCCCCCCCGGGCGCAGCGGGGTGTGCGGAGGGTGGGGGTGACGTGGGGGTCTTTTCGGGCCCCCACCCGGCGCCCCCTCCAGCCCCGGGCTCGGACCGGAGCCCAGAAAACAAAGCGGCGAGAGAACAGAGCAGCCATTTCAGTTTGGACAATTCACATTTTGCAAAAATGCAACCCCTTCCAGATCTCCCCCCTCCCCTCTAAATTTACAATTTCCCCCTGACCCTCTGTGCGCTCGGGGTCCCCGATGACCCCTCGGGAGGTCTTTCCCCCCTGGCTTCCTATCTTTGCAACAATCTTTTTTTTTTTTTTAGGCCATATTTCCTTTTCTCAATTTTTTTTCTAATTTTTCTTCAAACGGTAGTTTTTTCCCATTAAAACGACGCCACCTAGAGGATACTATTTTGTAAATAAAAAAGAAATTAAAATTGAAAAGAAATATTTTTTATTTCTTATTTTTTCAAAAGTTTCCTCTATAAGGCAGCGGAGAGGACAGAGATTCTTTTTTTTTCTTTTTGAGGGTGACAATTTTCACTTTGATCTTTCCAGGAGCATAGAGACAATTTTTATTTCTGAAGCCAAATCCAGATAATATGTAAATGAAAATTAAGCTAGAATTTGAATGAATTCAGTTTTTGAAGGGGAGAAGGCAAAAAGCCTTCTAAAACCAAAGTCGATTTGGCTGTCCAACTCATTTTAGTTTGAGAAAAAACTATTTGGAATGAGGAAAGGAGGGAAATTGTTGAGTTTAGGGGAAACTGGGAGAATTGGCTTTATTGAAGCAATTAGAAATTGTACTTCATTGTAATTTGGAACTTGTTTAGCTCAGTGGGCAAAAAAGACTAATTTTGCCATTTGGCAATATTTAAAGTTTTTCTGTTTCCAAGAAGGAAGGGTTTAAAAGAGAAATAGAGCCTAAAATGTTGGCTTTGGACACACCCAAAAATTGTAGGTTTTATTTTTTTAATTTTTCATTTACATTTTACTGCGTTTAAATCCCAAGGTTCTAAAGAAAAGCAGAAACTGGAAAAGTTAGAGTGAAATCCATTTTTTCCCTGCATTTGTTGGGTTGTGTGTTATTTTTTTTTTTTTTTGCTTTGATGGAATAATTAAGACTGTTTTCTGATTTTGTTTGCTGAAAGGTCTAGGCATTTCTTTTTTTGCTGTTGTTTTATACAGAAAATGTCAGCCACCTTTTCTGAGCAATATTCAGTGGGAAAAAAAATGTAAATTCATTACATTATACAAATTGAGTAGTCCACAGATTTGTAGGAGAGACCGCCATTAAAATAAGATATGCATAATTAACATTATTATGAAAAAACTAACAGTGGATTCACAGAAGCTCATTTTTTATGACATGCAACTGAATCAGTTGGTAAAGACAAGGGTTGAAGAATCCTTGGTAAGAAAAAAATTTTCCTTTCTGATGCTTGCTCAATCTTTCAATTTGAAAATTTTATTATTAAAAAATATATATCCAGTTTGGTTTCAGGCCTCTTTGATTGTGCTGTGGGGTTGGTAGTTTACTAACATTTGGTATTTTTCACAAATCTGATTACTTTCAAAGGGGAAAAAAATCCATTAAGCTTGATCATTTAGTGGGGGAGGGTCTAATTTTTTTTTCAAAAGCACAAATTTTACTGACTTAGGAAGGAAAGATAAAAAAGGGAAGGACAGAGAAGAGATGAAAATTCTGATTTTTATCCATCTCCTGTAGTGGAATACTTACTTTGCTGAAAAAATGGGGTAAAACACCAATTCAACTTGATTCTAGCATCAAATTTTAAATTTTTTTTTAAGGGAAAAAAAAATCAAAATATAAACAAAAGCCAAAACCCAGAGATACTTGTCTTTGGATCATGAAAGCATATGTGCACATATTATTAGATAGTTTTTGGCCTTCAAAAAAGTCAAGGTGAAGCCAAAAAAATTTTTTTTTCCTTTGGGAAGACAAATATTGGCCAAATTGAAATTTAACAAAGGAAGATAAGGTACCTACCCAAAGTTGAAGGGTTATTTGTGGTAAATTACTCTCTGAACTTGCTGGGGATTTTGCATCAAAAAAAGAAAGTTCCAATTTTTCTATCCAAAAGGAGGGGGAAATGTTAGCATTTGTGGAGTGGTTTCTTAGATGGGACCTGGTGGTGGGTCACACAGGACTAGGGCAGAAAATCCTGTTCCCTTTTGCCAGCCACCAGCTGGTCTTGGAAGAAATGATGGCCCTGGTCCATGAATTCCCAGCCCCATTTTGGGGAAATTCAGATTTCTAAGGGGATACAAATTCTGTGAAATATATTTGACAGTGCAGAGGTTTGACATTTCCCATCACCGCCATTGCATTTGGGAGATTTTTACTTTTTTAGTAACAAAATCCTTCAGGGCTGACTGGCCACATTCTGACATATTTGGAATGAGCTTTTTTTTTTTTTTTTAAAGTAGCGTAATTAATTTTTTTTTTTCTGTTGAATTATTTAGGCCGATGCCTAGGACAGGCAAGGAATTTATAATTTCCAAGGGCTCAGGAGGTCTCACGAGACAGGAGAGCCAGTTTAGCAGGTGATGGGAGGAGAACTGTGTCCTGCACTGGGGAGGGGTGGGTGGGCACCCCTACCAGGCATCTGAGAAAGACTCAGGGTTGTAGATAACAGGTTATTTCTGGTGCAAGGAATAAAAATATTGCAGCATGTTCCTTTGTGTGCCCTGGATCCCCTGACACACAACTCAAATTCCTTCATTCCATTCTCTTGAAATTTTGTTGTGTTGTCTATGGTTTAAAGGGAACCCCTGACTAGAAATGGAAAATCATCTCTGTTTTGGAGGCTTGTTTTCTCTTTTTTTAAATTGGTTATTCTGATCATGTTTGTTTTAAAGGAAATAGAGGTGCATGATGGTACTGTTGGGGGCGGGGTCAATTTTCTTTTGTTTCTATTGGCATCTCTCAGGATTGAGACAGTGACCTGGGCCTTGCCTTTCTCATCTCCTATGGTGGATGGAAGTGTGACCAGGAATGGATATATATCAGCTGATTTTTATTAGGCCATGTCTGTTCACCAAATTCTTGTCGTCTTGGGCGAAAAATCTGGCAAATTGGACTTGAGGGGTGGTAATTTGATGATGGACTGAGTTATTTTGGTGAAAGATCATTTATGCTCAGTTTCACAGAGGAGACTCTTATTAATGTTTTGCTTTTCTGCCTAAGGAGTTTTTTTTTTTTTTTTTTTAATTTTCTACTAAGGTTTGAAATTTCAAGGGCTTGCTTTATTGCTTGACTTCAGACCAAGCTAAGAAAAAGGGTTTGCTTATACTTTCAGCTCTGTTCAGAGGTGAACTTGAACAAGGGCTCTTGCTGTTGAAGGAAAGCAACAAAGATGGCTGGTCAGGGTGAGTGTGACCTCTCCCTGGTCCTTGGAAATAAACAGCCAATGGTTTGTTTTGTTTGAGAAACAGTTTAAAAACTCCTGCACTGTCAGATACCATTCTCCCCCTCCACCTTTGACTCAGCTGTTGGCATACTGCTTTCTCTGACCTCAGAACGCTCATGTCGTCTCCTTGGAAGGGTGATAAGAACTTCCTTGCGTGTTTCATTGGATGTATAAGGGGACTTTTCATAGCCATGGTGAAATTTTGAAATTTTTCTGTGTTCTTGTAATGTTTCATGTCAGTGATGTCTCCTTCCTGGTGATGGAAGGTGAAGTGGCTTTGTGGGTACACAGGAGGCCTGGTTTGCCCAAGGTCTTGTGTATGATCTTGGACAAACTGCTTTTTTTTCCTTCTGAGCCCTCAGTCTTTGTGTTTGTCATATGAGAGCTTTGGAACACAGCAGTATACTAATAAGTTGTTTTCTTCTCTGATTCTGACTCCATGCAATGGCCGGGTCACTGTGTTGAGAAGGATTCTGAGGTCACATCTGGACGCCAATATTGTGGAGAATGGGGGGCAGTGGTCACGTAGCAGTGTCCATCCCAGAGTGGGGGGTGTACCACTGCTCACCATACCCAGGCTAGGTTGTGACTCACGACCCGTTAGTGGGTTATAAGATCAGTTCAGTGGATCACAATCAGCACACACACAAAAAGAACACACTAGGATACAGGGGAACAAATACCAGCAGAGGCATAGCTATGTACTCAAGGTAAGTGTCGTCTTAACGAAACTTTAGTTTTATTTACATGTGCTGATGTGTGTGCACGATAAATGTAAGTCCTACTGTGAGTTATGGTTAAAAGAATCTGACAGGTGCTGGTCTAGATGATGGACGGTGATGTGCTCCAGGAATCCCTCATATTGCTGTTTGTACTTCATTTTCTTATTTGTTACCCCAGTGACTTTCATATGAACCCTTTGGGATAGGTGTCCTGGGTCACATTTTTTTTTTTTAATTTAATTCTCTGTTTGAGCTTAGCTGAAGGGCCAGCTGTGAAGACATCTCGACCGCGTAGGTGGCAGTCAGGCATGCACCCCAGCTTGTTGGCCTTGGATGAGACAGGAAGGGCAGGTGCTATTAATGTGTCCTTCCAGGGTGAAGTGGCATCTTGGCCAGGTTCTCTGGCTGGGAAGGAGACTTTTTATGTAGTGTGGGATCCCAGTCTTGATGGGAGGGAGAGCAGCCCCAGTTACTTTTATTCCTCACTTACTTCACATTGCCAGTGGACTTTTTTT